CCGGTAATTTTTCAAAATAAAATCAGAATCAGATAATATTAAAACGAATATAACAGAAATAAGTTATGCATTCTTTCTGCACGGCCCGGTACCAACTGACCCACAGTCCGTTACCGGTCCACTATCCAGGGGTTGGGGATCACTGATCTACATTACATAGTTCTATGAGATAAATAAAATGGGTTTTAAGGCCATCCATAACAATCTGGGCATAAAAGGCATGAGGTTCTAAGATTACCAAATGAAGATTACTTTACTTTACTTATACACATTTTCACATTTTAACTAAATGTTTAAATGCGAATCATTTCCACAACTTATAATAGAATAAAGCCTCTTTTGTTCACTTGGTCTCTCAGTGGCAGACCAGTGCAGGTGTTATCAGAGCAGCAGGCAGCTTGTCACTGACTCACAGTGTGTCTCTGTGTGTGTGATGCTGATGAGACACCTGCTGACTTCAGCAAAAAGAGCCTGTTCAAAGATGCTGTGACTGGAGTCACTCTGAAGAACTGTTTCTCTTTCTCAATAGCATCACGGGAAACATAACCTTCAACCTGGTCATCAGTCATCACTATAAAAAACAAGCTCTCAGCATCTGTGACTCATATCATCTGGGATGTTTTGAAGTGAGTCTCAAGGACAGATTAAAAAAGGGAACTGTCATTTATCTTAGGAAAAACAAGAATGGATTGTTTCAGATTAGTTTCAGAATATTTTTGCCTTTCATTAACATGCAGTACCAGGTTATGCTCAAATAAATAAAGAAAACCTGGACTTTAGACTCTTGCCATTTTAGTGAGAAGCTAATGTACTGTATGTATTTGCACCGTAGTTTTATATTCTGTATCCAGCTCCAGAATTACAACAGAGCTTCAGCACTACTACTTCCATAACAGTACCTCAGAGTTAGATACTCTACTAATGAATGCCGCACCTCTCACCGTCTCTTTCATCTCTTTCATCCAGTCTCATTTTGTTTCACGTCTTTAACCTAAGCCAGAGAAAAACAACACTTTTCAGGACACAGTAAATCTCAGTTGACCTCGGCCGGTTGGGAGAGATCACGTAATACGCACTAATCCCACTCAGTATTAGTGGGGGCTCCGGTTCCGCAGACACGGTATTAATTGTGCAAGTGTGTGTTGGTTTTTGTGTGATTGCCTAAGTGTATCAAGGTAGCAGGGAAGGAGCTGCTCAGGGGTAAAACTGTTGACCCAGGGAGACTCACACTGTGCAAGTGTTTATGTTGGCCATGAAAACACTGGAGAATAATATGAGATCCTCAGCTCACTGAACCGACAAGATCGCCAGGTCCTTTACTTACACAAGTGATGGGAATTACAAGGGTAAAGCCCATAGTTACAAGTGTTTCTCCAGGAAAAAAAAAAAAAAACAAGAAAAAACGTAACACTAATTTGACAAAAATAAATATAAAAACAAGGTTTAATGTTTTACGTTTGTTTACACGCCAGTCCACTCCATAATAGCTTCTAGAATTCTACATTTTATAATTTTGCCTTCAGTTTAATACACCCTACAGTACATGTCTACTACTAACATTTCTTCAATAAACAGAAGCATGATAGCTTGTTAGATTAACACGTTCCAGGAGATCACAGGGCACATTCCTATTTTCCCCATCTTCAGTCTCTAGGGATAACAGAGATGAGGCAATGTCAACAGAAACCTTTTAGAAACCGGAACAAAAATTCAAGACATTTCTTTTACCCAAACGCATTGTGTGTGCCAGCATTCACACCATTGTAAATGGTAATGTTGTAATGTTAAGTCCACAGGGTCAGGCGATGTACTGAGGTTTTAAAAAAAATAAATGTAATATTCATATTTAGACGTTATGTTTCCATCTCCTTCGAGAAACCTCAGTACTTGTTTTAAGATTCATGCCGATGTCAGTGATTGGCTGATCTTGAAATGAAACTGTTGGATGATTTCTTGTCATTGTCCATTCATCAAGAGTTAAACCTTTGTTTTGGACTTCTCCACGTGCAGTCCAAACAACAATCCTGTTGTTCCACTTGGCTTTGTTAAACCGTAGTTGACTTAAGTGTTGAGGCGCCACGCTGCCCTGCACTTGGATATTAGTCACCTGTAAAAGGCCCAGTCCCCAACTGCACTGTCAATAAGCAGGCAGAGAGGCTCAGTTGATAACAGAAGAGAACCGTGCTTTGACCAGTCAACATCGGACACATTGGGTTCACGAGTCCCTCTGCCTTCAGCTACTGTATGATAATACCAAACCTTGGGCTAAGACGTGATTTAGAAAGGCTTAGCACAGTGTTGTGGGTGTGTGGCACGCTCTGCACTTCACAACCCCACTCCAACAAAGTAAACACGTAGCCCTCCAGTCTAAATGGACGTCCATAGAAACTAGAGAGACAGTTGATCCAACACAATCCATACCAGGAGAGAAAGCCAAGCTGGAAAGGATTATAACAAAATCAAAATCAAAAAGCAGGACTACGAAAGATCATTGCAAGTGAGAGACTATGAGTCAAATGGATGATGGATAAAATTTGATATATATATTTTGTGATGTATACCACATAGGAAAAATTGATGTCTTAAAAAAGTGCGAAACAACAAGACTCCAAAAATGGACTATATTAAATTATATAATCTTTCCCTGTCATAGAGACACAATTAAAGAACAGGGTCATAAAACAAAAAAAATAAATGAATAAAAATAAAGGTCTGTGGTTCATGTTGCAGAAGTAAATTGCAACATTGTCGCTGTATTGTTGTCGTTTCCACCATTTAAAACTAAATTAGCTACAAAATATGTGTAATGATCAAAAATAAACATGGTTACTAAGAATGTAAATGGTTGTAAGGTCAATGGAAAAAAAAAAAAGCTTGAGTGACAGGTACACAGAGTACAGAGGAAGAGTTTTTTTGCACCACAGTCAGAACTGCACTGCATGCCACGCCTGAGAGCAGAGAACAGCCACAGCTGAAACTGTGAGGTTGGCCTGAGCAGACAGAAATAACTTTATGAATGTGATGGTGTGAGTGTGCTGGTAACACACGGAGCTACAACGCCGAGGGGAAGCAAAACACCAAAAAGTAGATCTCACTGGTTGCCTAAAGAAACATTCTTCAAAGATTGTTTTCATATTTTAGTGACATCTTCAACGACCTGATAAAAAAAATTAAAAAAAAAATCCCAAAAATCAGTGGCTTCTGTTGGTCATATATCATATTAAAAAAAAAAAAATCCCAAAAACCAGTGGCTTCTGTTGGTCATATATCATACATTTTACCAAAATTGAAAGTAAAAATAGAAATTAGAGTACATTTGGAATGACACATGCAACCTCCTTTTGTAGTACTGCACTCTGCTGAAAAAAAAACTCTGAGGAGTGCTCCTGTTGGTACTGTTAGGTCCCACTCTCCTCTTCCTCGTCCTTTCTCTCGCTGCACAGTAGCTCCTCAGCTTTATTCTTGGCATCAATCCCAAGCAGATAGATGTGCAATCTAACTATGCAAACAATTAAAGGCTGCTCCTCTGCACTCCAGCCTCGTCACTTGTGGTGCTGCGTTGAGGATTAACCCAATATGCTTACACATTAACCCTGGACACACATCAGTGAATGACATTCCTCAGATGTGTGTTTACTAAAGCGAGGCTAATAAAAGGCAGTGAAGAGCTACTAGTCGGAGTAACTGTTGTCTTACTGGTTACCTTTGAACTTGGCTGCTAGGTTTCCATTTCAACTTGACTTTGACTGTAGGAGAATGAGATCTACATCAGCGTTACCTGGTGAAGTCTGTTTGGTTGAACAAAATAATCCAGTTAGGATTAGATCCAAAACGGTGTTTGAAATCCCAGAAACCAGACCTGAAGAGATTTTGTAAACAGCTGCCTGTTGACTTGACACTGATGAATGAATTAAATCCGCTTCCTAATTACAACACAATGTGCAACCTGTATTTGCCCCTCCTGTCTGACTACACTGTGTTTACAGTTGAAGTGTGTTACGTAAATGGATAAGAGTTCAGATAATGGTGAACACAAAGGAAACATCAGTCTGTGCCTGTAAACTTGTCAAAACCCTTGACTGCTCTGAGTCAAGTGACAGGTCCCTGTAGAAGAACAAATATGAGTGGAATGTCTTGAGTGATATGAAAACAACCAGTTTCCTTCACAACCTTCAGCTGGGCCTCCACAATGTCTGCCCTGAAACAATCTTTCCACTGTGCAGAAAAAAGGACACAATTACAAAACAAGTATCCGCAACTGCAACTGCTGATAGGCCAATGACCACTTGGAGACACAGCGTTCCTCTGAGTAACCACATAATCTCCACACAGCTGGACTGAGAGTGTGATAAATCCCTGAAAGAGGGCAGTCACGGCTCAAGGCCTATCGTAGGGACACACAGGGCAAATATAGTGTCGTGTATGACATTATATTAAAAAACACAGAAGCAAAAACAGTTCTATTTCTAAATAGTAAGACAACTATAAATATATAGACATATATGTAGGCAGATGGACAGATGCTGTTACTTAGTGTTTGCCATACTAAGTAACAACATGTTCTACCAGTGCAGGACGCTTTTACAGGACGCTACAATTTGTTGCCATAACATGAGGGACAAAGACTATCTTTTAAGTATCACTACAGCAGTGGGCCATGATGATAAAATAGAAGATCATCTGTGTCTGCAGACTGAATCCGATTTTTTCAGGTGTTTTCTGTTCACACAAACAACCATGCTGTTTAGCTTGTTTGCTCAAAGCAAATTAAGCAACAATGTGGTCATCTTCCTGATGGGCAGAGATTCAACTGGAAATCTGCTAGAGTTCAGAACGTACAGGAACTCTGTTTTATCTCACGTGAATGGCTATTTAAACTTTACATAAAAAAGTCATGACTGATATCTAAATTCATCAGCTGATTTTACAGTTTGGAGATGAGAACATCACAGTGTTTTAATGAGAAAGGCATCTGAGGAGTCACAGAAGCTTTTTCTTACCTCAAGTACTGGTCCTGCTCCCAGGATGATCTGCTCCACTCCACTTGCGAAACCTTTTTGGCTGAGTGCAGTCAGGTGATGAATAAGAAAGTTTGTGCTTTGAGTTTTTCCAGAACCACTCTCCCCTGATATAACAATGCACTGATTCCTTCGTCTCTGCAACATGGTGTGGTACGCCACATCTGCCACCGCGTAAATATGTGGCTCCAAGTCTCCCAGCGTATGATTGTCATACATCTTCACATACTTGGGGTTGTAGATAGGCAGAAACTTAAAGGGGTTTATTACAATGAGGATGCTTCCAACATAGGTGTATATCTTTTCCTGCCGGAAACGCGAGCGCAGGTTGTCCAGCAGCGAGCGCTCATTTAGTTCCTGCAGGCGACACAGATCCGCTTGGACACCCTGAGATTCAGGCTGTGGCAGCAGCCCACGTTCCATCATTTGCCTTCGCTCCTCCGTGACCTGTAGCCACATCTGGAGGCTGCCACCGTAGTGGATAGATCCGTCCAGATTCTTCTGCCTGAGGAGGAAGCGATAATCCTCGCCACCGGACAAAGAGCGGTGCTCCAGAGCCACACGAGGCCAGAGCATCATCCTCTGCACAGGACAGTCGCTGGGGTTGAGAATCCATTCTTCTCCACCAAACTCTTTCACCTCTGCAAGAACGTAGCACTTAGTGCGGTCCAGTTGGAGGCGTCCAATGACGTGTTCGATGGCCTCCGCAGCTGTGGTGGTCTTGCGGGCACTGATTGGGCAGTAGATGGTGCCCTCGGCCAAGGTGCCGGGGTAAATGCGCACAGTGAACTCTGAGTTCTCAAAGCGCTGCCGCCGGCCCAGGGTGCCCATGCCACCAACGCCATCACGAGCACTCATGACGACGCAGGAGTTTCCATGAGCAAGAGCCTGGCACTGGCTCGTCCTTCACTGGGCTGGAGGAGGCAGGAGTTCAAGACATTACCACTGCAAAAGAAAACAAGAACGACAACATCAGGATCTGAGCTGTAAAATGTGTACAAAGACAAGAAGTCTTTGAAACAATGCAGTGTTGTTAAGGAGATTTGTCCAAATGACCCTTGTTCTGAAGCCAGGAACTAATATTGTTTATTCTCACATTTTAAAAATACCAAGAAATCTTAAAATCAAAACTCTGGTTACTGATTCAACTTTTAACGTCATTCTTGACCTTCATCTTATAAGTCTTAAAACAATGAATCTGCTTCAATTTCTGCTAATGGGAGAAATGACTTTGATCACACACAGACAAAATATACAAAGTTATCAGGATCTACAACTTTACCATAAACACACACAAAACTCTTACCCAAACACACACACACAGAAAACACACATACTTGCAACACTGAGACCAACAGCTGCAGATCTCTTCAATGAATACACAGTCAGTCCATTGACAAGTTCTCTCTCTTTAATACAGACCACCATCACATCACGGGGTGAGAGGAGGTCACAGATAGAGAAGAAGAGTGAGACGTCTTTATTAGGTGAGCAGCTGACCCAGGCCCTGGACTCTGAGCACTGTGTAAACTATTGTTAACATGATTTTCACAGAGACCAAGTTAAAATCCCAAAGTATTGGGAATCTGTGGGTGAAAAACCAACTAACTGTGATTTATTTGTGAACATGTATCCTCACACCCACCAATCACAGCAGGACCACATGGAAAGACAAGTCCTTGAACCTTTTAACAGCAAATGGCTCCAAATGTGTCACCAAAATGAATAGATGCCTGGAAGGAAAATGATCAAGAATCTTATTTGAAAATATGGCTCTGTTAAAATAAGTGATGCACATGCTCCAAGCCCACTCAGTGTAATATGTGCTGACCAGCTGTCCACCAAAGCCACGGAACCACAGATGCCCCAATTGCAATTTCTGCAATAAAAAATATTTAAACGGCCAAAAGGGTAACCCAAAAAAACAGACCTGAAAATGCCAAAAGAAAGTTATATAAGAGTATAAAAAGTCAGCTGTGAATGCAACACTATCCACAAGTGTAATAAGGTAAATCAAAAACCCTGGTTTCCAACAACTACATTAAAAACATGAGGGATTCCTTTCAACATGAACTACATTCTATACCTTCCATATCTACGACCACTTCACAGCAGCACAATTCAGCTCTGATGACATACCAAGCTTCAGAACATCTTTGCCACATGATGACATGTTACCTGAGAGTTCGATCTCTGTGTTGGTAAAAAAAAAAAAATGAATGTACAGTTTGTACGCCAGAGATTTGTTCCCTGCAGGAAATGACAAAGTACATGGAGAAGTACTTACTGGAGCCTGTTCTCCTTAAATGACTGAAGCAGAGACAGATCTCGTTTCATCAGCCCAGTGGTGATACAAGTGGTGGATAAATGGTCAACTGTAAGCTGTGTTGGAATCAGTTTAAACAGCAGTTACGGAACTCAAGCTAAACATACTGTGAGATGGATAACTATTTTCTCTATGAGGTTTTTGATGTCGGGAAAATGTAATAAAAAGGTATTAATGTTAAATATATCATGTGGTATAATAGAGAGAACTTGTTAATGTCACCAAATAGTAGAAGTGCATATGTAATCAATATTAAATGTGCCTGCTCCACAGTTGTTGTTAAAATACTCCAAGGTTAGAAGCACATTTTCTCTGTTGTACTGTAGTACTGTCCAAAGAGATGGAGTGGATGTTAAGACTTTTTTTGTTTCTTCGGACATTTAACCAAGGAGGAGGTCAAACCACGTGAGTCAGACTGTGTCAATGAATGCCATTGTTACACTGAAGCAAAAAATCAAGTTTGGTTAGCTTACAATGCTGTGAAGTCATCAGTCTGTCTGTGTGAGTGTGTGTTCTACTGTCATGTTGCACTGTCTCTGTTTCCATCCATACTTTCTGGGAATTAGTAGCTTTGTGTCAAACTAAGGTGTGTGTACGTTACTTGTGTGTGTGCTGGCACAAGACTGTGAACTCTAACATACAGTCTGGACAATTCTGTGGGTTCATCTGTTCTCCTGGCAGCTCCACTCTGTCAGACTGAGCCGTTATGTTTATGGGCAACATGTCACAGAGCAACGCTGTTGGTTTGTGTGTGGCAGAAATGAGTGTGAAATAAAGCCACAGCTCACGTCTAAACCTCCGTGGGATTATGTTCACTGCTAATAACTATTAGCAGGCCGAATTCAAAGGTCACATGCTTTTTATTAGCCTTTAAACTTTTTTGGGACAATTTGTTAAATCCATAAATACCATCAGCCAAAATACTTTATTTACTTTATATTTTCTTTTGTGTCTGGGCAAACAGCAGTAGTTTAATATTAAGAAACTGAAATGTTTTATATGCTATAAATGTGTTGGTTGTTCATTTATAAATAAGGTATAAGGTTTTGTGACAGGTGATACAGCATATAGGTCTCATATACAGCACTAACACAGTGGAACAAAGACAACATGACTGTGTATGTGTTGTGTATGTGCATACCACACATAAACCCATTTCCCAAGTTTTAATAGAGCTGCACTGGCTTCAGAACAGGCCCAGCCCCCTCCCAGTTAGAGGCAGAGGAAATTGCAGTGCAGACATAAAATGCATACAGCAGACCCTTTCATGAGACCAATGTCAGGAGGGGAGGGGGCTACGCTACTGAAAGGAGCAGTTACTGAAGAGTCAATACTGATAATTGTTGGAAGGAAGAAATGTCTGAAGCTTTTCCAGCCAACAATGTCATCTCACACAAACCAAGTTATATTCCAGAATTAAAAAAAAAGAAAATTCTATAGATTTGATAGAAGGAAAGGTACTTAATTTGATCTATTCCATGTTTTTTGAGTGGTCAGCGCAGCGCTGCAGCAGGACATGTATGTCCAGGTGTGTGTGTTGGACAGGACAGGTGGGTCAGCTGACTGATGTACCAGTGGACATGCCATTCACGCACTGACACGTCAGACCTACTGAGAACACATAATTACAGGTCACCACTGCTCAGGGCCAACTGCATTGATATGTAACACAACCGCTGCCTCTACACTTTCCCACAGAAGTCGTTGACAATCAGCCTGCAGGCACCTCTGTAGTTCACTGAAACACCGAGGCTTTGACCTTGTTAGGTGAAGAACTACAGCTGGTTCAGGCAAAAATGCTACTGCTACAACCTTTACCACCTAAAAGTAACACTCTGCCCTGGAACTGCTACTTGATCATCTTTTTCAGGGAGGTTTTCCCTGGCTAAACCGGTCTCCTCCACCAGTCTTGAAAACCAGCAGGACTGGGTGAATTGGACACTGTGGATTTGGACTTTATCATAGGTATGAGTGTGAGTTTAAATGGTCATTTGTCACTGCACGAGGTGCTGTGATAAACTGGAGAACAGTCCATGGGGTACACCACCCTTGCCCAGTGTCTGCTGGGATTGGTTCTATTAGTAGAAGGTGAATAAATACATTTGAATAGAGCCATGTAGAGAGAAAACTGTTAAAAAAAGCTTTGTTAGCCGATTAGACTGGAGCATTAGGCCTATATCAAAAACCAACTCTGCGGTCAGTCTTCACCGTCAAACCTTGACAACCCTGGGTACAGTCAATGATCTGTGTTCCAGAGTGTTCAGGTCTTATTTATGGGAATCTATTCCACAGAAATCATTTGTGTGGAAAAACTATCTGTTGAGGTACCAGAAAAAAACAGTCATTTATACATTCGTTTTTAAGTTCTTCCATTCTTTGCCAATATTATCAGCTCAGTTACAGGTAATTACATTTTGTTCGGAGAAGTGTAGGAGGCATTTCTGGAGGGTCTTAACAGGACCACCAGGCCACCAGTCAATGTTTTACAGAGGTTACCGTTTTTTCCGCGACCATGTGGCAAATTGACTGTAACATGAGGACACAGCACAGCTGCCATATCCTCTCTGTAACTTCTCCCTGTATTTAACTCACTGCTGAATTACCATGTTTGACGCTAATTTGGGTGAATGGAAAACAAGAAGCAGGGTATGCCAACATTTTAGTCAGCATTTTTAAAATGTTGGTTTTTGGGGTTAAGTTAAGATTGCTGTTAATGCAAGCTAATGCTTCCTTACAGCGCTAATGTGTAGACTGCTCACACTGCTCCAGAAGGTTGACTTTTTGGATGGGAATTACAGCCACGGTGGATTTGACAACTCAGGAAATATTTTCTCAGGGAAGTTTCTTTGTGGTTACAGTGGCTTAAATAAAATGACTCTTTTGGGACTTTTTATAATAAGATTCCAAGAAGAATAGTTTCAATTTACTATGATTTGTTTTCTAAAAAACGGACTCATCTGAGACAACTACTGAAAAAAAAAAAAACTCTATTAAGAATGAGAAATATGTGATGACAATGACTATGTCACTAATGAATGAATATGGTAATTGAATTTAATCAAATACAAACAGATGACTGTAGATGCATGTCAATCTGTACAGATTTATTTACAAATGACACTGAAATACTACGTTCATGACATTTTCTGAAACAAAAGTCCTGGCATTTTCCTGATTCAAACCTCCACACAAATTCACATTCATCAGTTTCTTGTTTGTTTGTTTGTCAAGTACGTTCTGTTTACAGACAGACGACACACAGCAGCAGCACCAAACAAACACCAGTGACAAACACAGGCTCCTGGGGAAGGTAGTAAATGTAATTATATGTTTGGAGCACAGTGGGAAATTAACTTTTTAACAGGGGCTTTTTCTGCCTCCCTGAAATGTTTCAGAGTATTCTGGAAAACCAGCAGGCCAGACTTCTGCTAATCACATTCGGGATCTTTCTCAAGCCACTTACAATGACATGCAGTAATAATAACATTACCATAACAATTTATATGATTTAACAGATTTTGGATCCTGAACATCTACTTTTTTTAGTCATGTTGTAAAACAGACACTTCAATTCAATTTTATATATACATATATTTATCTTTTACTGTTGAATCATTTT